GGTGAATGCCATCTGGTCCTGGTGACTTATTACTGTTTAGTTTATCAATTTGTTCCAAAGCCTCCTCTAATGACATCTCAATCTGGGGCAGTTCCTCAGATTTGTCACCTAAAAAGAATGGCTCACGTTTGGGAATCTCCCTCACGTCCTCAGGCATGAAGACCGATGCGGAGAAACTAAATGAATTCTTTGCAATGGCCTTATCGTCCTTGAGTGCTCCTTTAGCATTTTGATTGTCCAATAGCCCCACTGGTTGTTTCGCAGGCTTCCTGCTTCTGATTTACTTTAAAAAAATTTTGCTATTAGTTTTTGAGTCTTTGGCTAACTGTTCTTCAAATTCTTTTTTGGCCTTCCTAAATATATTTTTACACTTCACTTACCAAAGTTTATGCTCCTTTCTATTTTCCTCAATAGGATTTAACTTCCACTTTTTAAAGGATAAAGTCAAAAGATATTTAAAATACTAATTTCAGCACATAAATCTCCCATTATGAATACTTGAATCTCTTTGACATTCATATCACCCCCCTTCTAATCCATATAAAATACAGACCATCTTCCTTGTCTGACACAGTGAACACATCACAACACTCTTCTAAATCTCTCCATTGCCACCTGCCCAACCACCACCCCCAATTACGAGGCAGAAAAGTTCAACCTTCTTGCCCCCACCTACAAGGTTGTTCATAACTGCTTGCCCATTCATCTCTTATAGCAGGGTCCCACCCGCTTACCTCCTCTAATAATGCCAGTTTCACCTCCTATTCATTAGCTTCTCACAAACATTTCAGTACTTTTTCTTCCTACTTTTTCTTCCCCCTCCATCATGGCTCTCCACTTGTTTCTTCCACGTGTGTGAAGGTGTGGATGTGGATAATCAGTTCACACAGGCTCCCGCCCTCATTCATGATTCCCTTTATACACAAATGACTTGAAAAATTTACCTCACTGACCATGACTGTCCTGGTGAGACACAAACTACGTTTCCACAGTTTCTGGGATTCCTTTCATCATGCTGTCCCTGGGCCCAGCTTTGGGATCCTATCTTTCATAGCTTTCAACTCAGAGTTGTCTGAACAATCTGAATTCTCCCCTCCAACAACTAAAATACCCTCTGGTTATCGGAGAGGGAAAGGAGCATTAGAGAGAGCCTCCTGGCTGCTGTGATGGTGGTCTCTGCTAATTTACCCCTCCCTCCAACCTCCAAATCCCCCATGAATAGCTTTAGCGCCTGCCTCTGCGTCTGCTACCCTAGCCTTCTGCACCAGAGTAAAATGGCCCTGATTCTTGTCAGTTTAAATCTTTTCCACAATGTTTCCAATAACAGTAGTGAAAACAGATAAAAGTCTGATCAGTTTTCATTCTACTACATCTTGAAAATGCTGAGTAGCAGCAGAGGTACTAAAGCTGTATGTTCAAGAGCGAATGTATTGCCCATTTTTCTGTACCTGTGTAAGCACTACCATAAACAGGGCTCACATATTTTTACCACCACTTTAATGAAAGCTTCATATGAAAGTGCCTCAGCCAGTCTACACTAACATTTACGCTACTACAAGCAAAGGGAAACTACACGATACTGACAATCAGATACTACATTTGCTAGTGTAAATTCAGTTAAACATTTGGAAGGTTATATTCTACCCACATGCAACTAGACACTTGTTTTTAAGCTGCAAAAGTTAATGGTTCTCACCTAAAAAAAGCCTCCTAATCATCTCTCTCCCCTGCCCCAGTCCTGCCTGTAACATCTAATATAACAACAATACACTTCTATTATTAAATTGCCCTTATAAAAATGAGTCCTTCTACCACCATAATCAGATATGCTCAAAAAAGGGAGTCTAAGATTGGTAGTTGAATGTCTAACATTACTCATGAGTTTCACAAGCACGTGTATGAGATGTAACGTAATTCACATCTTCATATACATTACCTCAATTTACGGCTATTTGCATACTTCTAATTGTTATATTTTATCTATAATTCTTAGTATTTATTTTTTGTAATGTTTCCTATTAAGGATTTGTTTACAATTGGAAATTTACCAAAATAACTACTCCAGAAGAGTTATTCTGGAACAACTTCCCCATGTGGAAAGTCAGTCTGGAATAAGAGTGTCCTAAAATAAGTCCACGTGGACACACTTACTCCACGCTAGGAGTGCCCACATGGGGAGTTGTTCTGGAATTATTATTCCAGAATAGCTATTTTGATACATTTCCAAAGACAAGAGCTTTGTTTGGCAATTTTAATTAAATTTGCAGCTTTTTTTGGTGGGGGAATACACGTTTAATTTTTTTAGTTCATGATGCTGCAGTTTTACAGATGAGTAATTCAAAGGAATTACTCACTTGCTTAAAGATGTGAGTTTATGGCATTAGCTTCTAAGGGTTTAACTTCAAAGGAACACTCAGGAAAATTAATCCAAAATTAACTAAAGGTGTGAATTTAAAACAGATTTGTTTAACCACATTCAATCCCTGTGTGGACTCTCTTATTGTAAATTAAGCTAACCTGAATTAAGACCACTTTAATTTTGAAGAGATTAGATTGTTAACTACTTACTGTATTTGGGTTAGAGACAGTCTCAGTATGTGCACAATACCTCATACTATGCAGCCTCTGGGCACTACTTTAGTATAAATATTAAATATTTCAGCCAGATTCCTAATTAAATTGTGTTCAGCTCCACTGAATGCCCACCAAATTGTCAAAGTCTTTCGAATTATCAATCAGGTCAGAATTTTAACAGCAATCAGAAAATAACACTGTGAAGGAAAATCTTCACAGATAAGCATTATTAAAATAGGTTTATGTTTCAAACTATTGTATGTACAACTTTTCATACAGAAGAAAAAATTAAAAGGCACTTAGTTTTATATGATGTTTAAATGTTTAACACTTAATGACTCTTATATGCATTTATTTGTGTTTTAGAAAAAAATAGTTAAGTTTCTCCATATACAGAAATTATCTCCTCCGTATACTCAATACAGTAACTCCTCACTTAACGTTGTAGTTATGTCCCTGAAAAATGCAACTTTAAGTGAAACAATGTTAAACAAATCCAGTTTTCCCATAAGATTTAATGTAAATGCGGGGGGTTAAGTTCCAAGGAAATTTCGTAGGGCAGACAAAAGGCATTATATACTGTACTGTGGTTGGGAAGTGCCCCTGGCTTACCCCACACAGGCACAGCCCGCTGCAGGCAAGGACACTAGGAAGCACCTTCGCAGCAGCAGTGGCAGCTTATCCGGAGAAGAACAGATGCTGACTTTGCTGGGGGATGCTCCAGGCTCACCTCTTCCCGTTCCCACTCCACTCCAGGCGCTCCTCTTCCCACCCCCCACTCCACCTCCTCTCCAGAGCACACCGCATCCCCTCTCCTTCCCTGCCCCCAGAAAGTCCTAATTACCGCCAAACAGCTGTTTGGCAGGCTTAAGACTTTCGGAGGGAGGGGGAGGAGTAGAGACGCAGCGCTTCCCCGCTCTTCACCCTCCCTCCCAAAAAGTCCTCAGTGCTGGGAGGGAGGCGGAGAAGAGGAACTTGTGCAATGCTCCCTTATAAAGTCACTGCTCTTCCACAAAATTTTACATGCAGTGTACAGAGCAGGCAGCCAAACGACGTTATAAGGGAGATTGCACAACTTTAAACGAGCATGTTCCCTAATTGAGCAGCGACATAACTTTGAAACGTTAAGCAGGAGGATGTTAAGTGAGGAGTTACTGTATTATACAACATTCATTTCCAAAATCCAAAGCAATTTTCAATTAAGTGATGGTGAAAATCAGACCACCACAAATAAAGTCAGTTAAATAACTTCATAGTTCTAATCCAACTTTGTTTTATAAATATTTAATAATCCTATGAGGATTTTTACCCTTCACGAACTCCACATTAATTGAAGTAACAAAAACAACTCTGAAAATACAAAAAACCAAACCTGCAACTCAGACAACAGCTCACAAAATGTTTCATGCTGAGTTTTTTATACAATCCTTTGCTATATAAATATCAAAATACTAATTACTAGCTTTGTTGTAGTGCTGCGGGTACTTTAAGTGGAGTACTTTTGTTTGTTCACGACAAAGCTCTTGACTCCTTGAGTGTATTTCACAACACAGGGCAATAGAGTCACACTCATAAGGTCTTACGTTCCATACATCATAAGGCCTTACGTTCCACACACAATACCTTTATGCAGCCTTTATAACCACAGAACACATTACAAACTGTTCAGGGACCACTTCACCCACTACTGAAATCAGCCACCTCTCGTATGACATGTTTGCAATTCACCCCTGGTGTTTTGCGGTTCCCATTACTGCAAGGAGGGAAAGCTGGAACAGGCAGTTATAGCTATGTTTTATGTAACCCACACAATAGTTTCTGCAAGAGTGAGAGAGGAGGAGATAGGTGTGGGAGAAGAGATTTCTCTGATGGTTTCCAGTGGAGTGGCGGTGACACTGATGGTGACAGGAGGGCAGTTTGTGGGGTTCGGGGGGCAAGTACTGGGGAACCAACAAAGGAGCGGGAAATGGCAACAAGGGACCAGGAGAGTGCTGAATGTCGGTTGATAGAGATGGGTTAGAGCACATGGGAATAAAGACATGTAAGCCTCCCCGCCTCTAGTGAGACTTTACAGAGTGGCAGGCTCCTGGGTGGGGAGGGTTGTGCTCTGAAGGGGCCAGAAGGGAAAACAGGAGCCAAGGGAAGCTAAAAGGATTAGAGGGGCAACTACCTAAAAGGACAAAGGTCCTGAAGGGACGGCGGCAGACTAGCCACGGTAATATAAGCGAGGCAGGGGAAGGTATTCCGGAAAACTATGCATGGAAACTGCTATGGGGGGCACAGAAGCATCGGGGGATAGCTCTGAAGAGGGGAGACGGGAGGGGACCCGTGCAGGGCACTGCGGGGGCTATGCAGGCGGCAAGATGGGTCCGCGGGCACGGCGCTGCCTGCCCCCCCCTCCCCGGCCCGGGGGGGGGGGCCCTCACCATGAGCACTTTGGCCGCGTTCTCCAGCTGGGCGATCACCTCAGGAGCCCCCCCCGCAGCCACGGCCGCCGCCATCATGGTCTCTCTTCAATGACGCGCCATGCGGGGCATTCTGGGACGAAGCGGTCGCACAGCCAATCCCCCGGTCCGGCGGGGAAGCGCCCGGACCGAGAGTACCGGCGCCGACCTGCAGCAGCGTGACCGGCCGGAGCAGCGGGGGGACAGGCGGAAGCACCGGGCGTGACTGCAGCAAGAGCCACCCCTCCGCGCTCTCCCCCGGGGCGGGCCCAGGGCACGCGGCCACAGACGGGGCGGGACTAATCCAGGCCCAATACAGAGTTCGCCTGAGGCAGCAACGCCCAGAGCAAGAGGGGTCGCATCGCCTCGGGAGCTCGGCTGCGGTTTCTGATTAACTTCGCTGGAGGCCCGCTGCAGCTCCCCTCTGACACCTGCTACACCGGGGGGGCGCTTACGTGGTGGACAGATGCGGCTCCCTGCACGCGCCGCCCTCAGCCTGCTGGAACGGGCGGGGGGGACTCGGCTCCGTGCACGCGCGGCCCTCAGCCTGCTGGAACGGGCGGGGGAGACTCGGCTCCCTGCACGCGCCGCCCTCAGCCTGCTGGAACGGGCGGGGGAGACTCGGCTCCGTGCACGCGCGGCCCTCAGCCTGCTGGAACGGGCGGGGGGGACTCGGCTCCCCGCACGCGCGGCCCTCAGCCTGCTGGAACGGGCGGGGGAGACTCGGCTTCCTGCACGCGCGGCCCTCAGCCTGCTGGAACGGGCGGGGGGACTCGGCTTCCTGCATGTGCAAACCCTAGCTTGGTCCGACCCGAGGGGCTGTTAATTTGGCTCCCCTGACACACCCAATTGGGGGGGGAGCTCAATTTTCCACACTTTTCAGCTACCGCTCTCCTCCTCCTCCCCCTCAACAGTAAACTCGGCTTCCCCCCACACGCTCCAGCGGGCAGCCTGGCTTCCTCCTTCTGCTGGCCAGCGGGGCAGGAGTGCTCAACAGGCGTCCCACAAACAAGTGCGGGAGTTTGACCATCCTCCTGCATTGCTAAATGGGGGAAGTCCCAGCTACATAGAGAAGGGGTCCCAGGGTGGTCCTGAAATGGAAAAGGGTGAGAACCTCTGCAATAGGAAACTTGGGGTTCAGCTCTGTTCCATGCCTCCAACAGTGAGACATCAGCTCCCTAGTTACATCAGCAGGGCCTTAGAATCATAGCAGATTAGGGTTGGAAGAGACCTCAAGAGGTCATTTAGTCCAATCCCCACTAAATCATCCCAGCCAAGGCTTTGTCAAGCCGGGCCTTTAAAGACCTCCAAGGATGGAGATTCCACCACCTCCCTTGGTAACCCATTCCAGTGCTTCACCACCCTCCTAGTGAATAGTGTTTCCTAATATCCAATCTAGACCTCCCCCACTGCAACTTGAGACCATTGCTCCTTGTTCTGTCATCTGCCACCACTGAAAACAGCCTAGATCCATCCTCTTGGTACTTAAGTTGAATAATACACTAATAATAAAATATTAGTGCATGTAAACTTCATTTCACATTTTCAGTGAAGCAAAGTGTCCCCAAACATTTTTGTGGTATGGACCACTTCCCCTCTCACCTCAGTTACATTCAGATTTGGAATCATCCATATGGCAGCTACAGTGAGTGGGTGCACAGAAAAAAAAAAAACACTACTTAAACATTAAAATGTATATTTAATGGGATACGTCTGGTTGGTTTCTTGAACACAATTCTGAGATACTGGGGGAGATCATGCTCAGTTTCCGTCTCAAACCAAAACCTGTTCACAATCTAGACCTGTATTTTGCTTAAACACTGAAAATCCACTCTTGCACAGGTACATTGAGGTGAAAGCCAATACAGCTTTCAAAGCTTGATCTACAAATGTTTGATGTTTTCCCTTAGCTGCAGCCAGAACTCTTTCAGGGCCAGTTGTTGAATGTGGTCTTCAATATTTTGTTGCAAGAGGTCATCATCTGTTTAAAAAAAAAAATGGAAAGAATTGAGTGAAAGGAGCGAAAGAATTGCTAATTCTCTCAGCTACTCTTTCCAAAGAAAGGAGTGTTCTTGACTACATTTCCCCCCTACTTGGAGTGGAAAGCATTCATTGGCCTCAGAGAGGAAATCATCCGAAATGAGACACATCAATATTCTCTTCATTTATTCAACAGGTCTACAGGGTTTTCTTGAACACTCACAGAATGCCCTTGCAAACTCAAACTAAGTTCATTCATTAGAGTGAAAGTATTGGATGAGTAGATCAGTAGTCCAAGGTAAAAGAGGTAATCAAAGCATGTGAGCACACAAATGAGTGATTTGACAAAAATACATTTCAGAATGATGTCCAGAGAGAGTGTTAGCATTTTCCCTCATGAAAGCCAGTGACCTTCAACGTGAAGGAGAGCTGATATATGGTCATGGAAGAATCAGGCTATATTTTTGTACTGATGTTTATGCATAGTGATATTCATATAAGAAGCATATTTAAAACAATGTTACATTACGTGGATTCAAGAAAGTTAATACGGGAGGTATCATTACAAACTTGATCATGATGGGGAACTGTTAATTTTGGCTCCCATCTGGAAGACTAGCAGTACCAAGCTGAAAAGAATGAGTGGATGGGTGCAGGAACAACTGATTTTGAGGGGAGAAACTGAGTGAGACACAGGTATTAGCAAAGGTGTGAGAGAATGCCTGGACCCTTAAACAGGACAAAGAGACTTCGCTATAATGGGTGTGCAGAGAAGCCCAATCCAAAGAGCATTCAGGATAAATGACAATTTGGATCTACACTGAAAGAGGTTAGCACAGGAACACTAAGGCTAAGGAGCCATCAAAAGAAGTTACTTTAAGTGCTGATTTCAGTTGTACTACAATAAAGATCTGTTCAGTTTCCCAAGTAAATGTTTCTGTACTTTTATTATTCTGCCCATTTAGAGTGCAACATCAGCTTTGATAAAGTCAACTATCTTCACTGAGAACTTCCATAAGAGTTCTTTATTGTGTTGGCATTTTAATAGCGACGGCTTCTTGGTGTATTTAGCAGTCATGGGGGCAGCAGAATAGTACATGTAACCAGACCACTATGCCTGCCAATGACGCTCATGCATCATCCATGAAGAACCTGATACTATTTTGTTATTTAAGCTCACTCCCCTTCACATATCCATTCAATATTTGAGAATATTTACTTTTTACTTGTGTAGATTGGGAGATTGACAAAAAGAAAATCATGCACTTTGTCATCAGATGCATATCTCACATAGATGGAAAGGTTTACAGTGGAAAGCAAATCAATGTTTAGTCAAGCTGTATTACAATTAAATGACTACTCCAAACTTGAGGGAGCATGTTATTTCATATTTTCAGCAATGTTGGAGAGTCTTGTTAAATCTCTATTGTCTAACAATGTTAATACGTCCCACTGTTTGCTAGTCTTGACATCAGATGCCACTGATGCCGCTTCTGCTGTTAGATTAAAAAAGAAACTCTTCCCTATAGTGATATTTCTCTCCTTTTGTGATGTAAAGACTCTCAAGATGAGATGTCTTCAAAGCTTTTGAACACTGGCTGCACTTTTGTTTCTGGCTATGTTGCTCTGTAAACTTGTGCGGGAAAAAAATCACATGCTTGTTTTTCAAGTAAGAATGTTTGGTCTCAAATTAACTGGAGGGATTGGGGTGAGGTTTTCAGTGTCCAACACTTCACAGCAAATAACTTTGGTGTGATGCTCCTCTAGATATAGTCCACATATAGCCCATCTGCACATATTTGCCTTCCTATTTTCTGACAGTCCTTCTCTTAGTTCCATTTTTCTTCCACAGCTGAAGACACTTCTGTCACAGTTCAGGGCAACTGCATCTGTATTTCCCTTCATTGGTCTAGCAAGGGCACTCTCAGACTTTCGGCTGTCACCACGTCTCACTCCCTTCTGACCAGGGTATTTCCAGGCTGCACAGTTCTCTGCTTTCACTATTATTTCCATCGCAGACAGGCTACCCAAGCACACCTACTTGCTTTCTCTTCAGAGATGGTTAACAGGTATAATTGCCAAGTATCAGGGGTTAGCTGTGTTAGTCTGTATCCACAAAATAACAAGGAGTCCGGTGGCACCTTAAAGACTAACCGATTTATTTGGGCATAAGCTTTTGTGGGTAAAAAAACACTTCTTCAGATGCATGGAGTGAAAATACAGATGCAGGCATTATTATACTGACACATGAAGAGAAGGGAGTTACCTCACAAGTGGAGAACCAGTGCTGACAGGGCCAATGTGATCAGGGTGGATGTAGTCCACTCCCAATAATAGATGAGGAGGTGTCAATTCCAGGAGAGGCAAAGCTGCTTTTGTAATGAGCCAGCCACTCCCAGTCCCTATTCAGGCCCAAATTAATGGTGTTAAGTTTGCAAATGAATTTTAGTTCTGCAGTTTCTCTTTGAAGTCTGTTTCTGAAGTTTTTTTGTTCAAGTGTAGCTACTTTTCAGTCTGTTATAGAATTTCCAGAAAGATCGAAGTGTTCTCCTACCGGCTTTTGTATGTTACCATTTCTGATGTCCGATTTGTGTCCATTTATTCTTTTATGTAGGGACTGACTGGTTTGGCCAATGTACATGGCAGAGGGGCATTGCATTGCACGAAAGCTTATGCCCAAATAAACCTGTTAGTCTTTAAGGTACCACCAGACTCCTTGTTATTTTTAGGTATAATTGCTACGGTATATGTTACCAAACAGTTCTTTCTATATTAGCCTATTTTATTCTTAAGGGAAAAGCATTACAGAAAAAACACATTAAAATCAACAAAGGAACATTCTCATAAGCTTACTGGAATTCCCTAACATGGGCTTTGGCAGGAGCAGTCCTCCAAATTCCAACCCAAGGGCATTCCTCATGGTTGCAAGTTCATCACAGCTTCAGCTCCAAATGTACACCTAGCCTTATGGGGCCTCAATAGGTGCAGGCTTTCCAACCCTACCTTCCATGGACTAGCAGTTCTGTCCGTTTGCTGGATGAGGAATAAGGCCCTGAGCCAGTTTAAAATCAGGCCATTTATCCAAAAATCCTTTCTTTGTCTGTTGGTCCCCAGAGAATCCAGTTTGAACTAGTATATGTGAACCTCTCCAGGGGCAAGGCTTCAAAGAGCTGATAGAGGAAGTACAGTAACATTCCCCTCCTATTAAAGATGGTGCATACAGTGCCACAATAACGCACACACAATTGGATTTTCAATACAATGTACCCCAAAGCCATTAACCCTAAATTAATGTGGATTAATTTAATTCAATAAGGTCTATCTTAATTCCCTAAGGTTTGTTTGGGATATTATGAGATATTGTCAGTCTGTCACAACATTGTCATAGCTAATACTAGGCTCTGTCTTGGTTGGTTCTTTCTTCTTGGCACTTTGGCTCAAGCTGCCACACTGTGACCAACAATTCAGGATAAGACACAAAATTATGAATGAGCTTCTAGAAATTGGAGGCCTCCTATTTGTACAGGCAGTAGGAAACAGCAGGGAGAAAGAGTGGCTCCTAAAAGTGCTCTTGAGGAAGGTGATAAAAGGAGTGGTTGAGCACAGGAGAAGATGAGCCAGGGAACAGAAACTCAACAGGAAAATTACACACTGGGATGGGGGAGTAATAAAGGCAGCTGCAGGGATGGGAGGGCAGTGGAGAATGAGAGTGGAGACAGGTCACTTCTAGTAAACTTTCTATTGCAGACTGTTTCCATGCCTACCTCCCGATAGCTACCCAGCCAGTCCCTGGTGCCTTGCTATTAGCATCCCAAGCGTAGTCATTTCCCTTCCCTGCTCCTGGTGAGTACCCACTAATTCCCCTCCTTGGCTTAGCTTCTCCTATTTACCTAACTCTGGGGCTCTTTTAGGAGCTTCCCCCCATATAAATAGGGGGCTGCAGTTAGGGTGACCAGACAGCAAGTGTGAAAAATCGGGACGGGGGGGGGTAATAGGAGCTTATATAAGAAAAAGCCCCAAATACTGG